GCTTCCAGCACGGAACGGGGGCTGCAGGCTGTGGGCGACGCCAGCTTAGGGTGGGCTGTGGGCGACGCCAGCTTAGGGGGGCTGTGGGGGACATCAGCAGCCCCCTGTCAGGCAGCAGTGCCTCTCGTTCTGCTGAGCTGCCCAGGCCAGGGTGGCTGCTGTGAGGGGAAGAGGCTGTGATATTTCTTGGCCTTTGCCTTCCAGGTATCGAAAACCTGCCTTGTGAGCTGCAGAGGAACTTCCAGCTGATGCGGGAGCTGGATCAGAGAACAGAAGGTGTGTTCAGGTATTTTGGTAAGCGAAGCCTGGTAGAGAGCCCCAACCCGAAGGATGGGAAGAGCCCCGTGGAGACAGGACCTCTCTCCCCTCCAATGCTTTTCCTTTTCTCAGCCTGAGCGCTGGGCAGCATTTGTTCCTTCTCTGTGAGGCCTCCAGCTCGCAGCACTTGGGGCTTTTTTTTCTAGCACTTGAGTGTTTATAGCTGTGCAATCGCCGAACCCAGTGGCCCCTTGGATGGCCTTACTCGCCCATGTTTCCTCACCTACTGAATTGTAGATTGCGTCTTGCAAGACCAATTCTTTTCTTTTTTTGTGGTCTGCGTTGATATCCAGCTGCACATTGGTGATTTTCAATTTGAACTGTTGGAATGGTAAATGGCCGCGTAGGAAATACAATGTCCTTGTGTGCGGGAAGAGAGGCTGAAGTTTGTGAACCCGTCGGTTCTGTTTCTGGTCTTAACAGTGAGCCCCTTCTCTCAATTAACTGTAAAACACCTGAGAAATCAGAATTGCACTGCAAGTGCTGAAGAGCAAATTACCTTAAACTTAATTATTTTTTTTTTAAAAAAAAGATAAATACGTAAGGGATCAGGGGAAGTCAGAAATCTGTCAGAAATCTTCTAAATACCATAAAGAGGTAGAAGGAAAAAATACTTGCTTTAGCAGACAGCTCTCACGTGTGATGCACTTTGCTTTTCAGATAAGAAAGCGGAAATCGACAGTCTTGCAGCAGAATACATTGACTCGGTGAAGAACATGCTACCTGAGGAGCGAGTGGAACACCTGAAGAAAATCCAGAGTGCCTACAGCAAATGTAAAGAGTACAGCGATGACAAAGTCCAGCTGGCCATGCAGACGTACGAGATGGTGAGGGCCACACCCTGTGAAGCTTTCGTTAAAAACTGGGGCTGCTGATGGGTGCGGAAGGCGTTTCCGCAGCACCCGTTTTCCCTGGCGTGTTCATGTTTTGGGTTCGGTATCTTACTGAAACTAATTGTTAATTCTCAAGCTGATTTTTCTTAGCGTTGCCCTCCCTTGTGTTAGCAGGTTTTGTGTCAGGTAGGCTTCCCTGCTGGTGAGAGGTTCGATGAGTTTATCCCCCTTGGAAGTTGCTTGATCATTAGTACTCCTCTGCTGCGTAATAATGCCAGCAAATTTATCCCGCTCCCTCCTCCCCAGCAGCTCCCCTGGCACCTGATAATTTATTTAGGACTGGCCTTAATCATAAACAACATTTGGGGTTTTTTTTAAGTCAACTTCAATACTATATTGTGGAGGAATTGAGGGAAGTCTGCCCAGTTACCTTGGTTTCCAAGTGACAAAAGGAAGCAGACCTGTCAGCTCTGCCATCCCAGTTGCATATTGGACACCAAATCTCCCTTGATGGGCCCGATGGGGGAAAAAACTCATCTCTTAAGAAGCAGCTTTTGGCTTTTCTCTCCTGCCCCTACTCCAGTGGCCGTTTAGCAGCCCCTTGAGTAATTCTTATCCCATGGATGAGTGAGGGGAATCCTTGTGGCTGTACTTGCTATGTTTTGCGCAGCTTCCAGAGCTGTTTGGCCTTCTGCTACACCTGCAGTACGTTTTATCGCCATCAAATCATGCAGGAAAGTAAATTATTTCACAGGGATTGAGAAGCGTCCTAGGTGACTCCTTATTCAAGGGCTGGGTATCGCAGCAGCGCGGTTTGGGAGTGGTGGCGGAAAATATCTTTGTTGCATCTGGGTTCTGTAAGCTGTGTTATTGCAACCAGGGGGTAGGACAAGGTACTTGCTTAATGTGTACTGAGTTGATATTGGAGGTGGTCGACAGAAGCCTGTATTTATGACTGAATTTCTTTGAATAGTGTGCCAGTGAAATGCCAGGGGAAAAAAAACTAGACTGATCTACTCAACAGAGTTTGTAGACATTAGTCGAAGAATGTATTTTGAAAATTGTGGGGAGAAAACAATCCTCTTTAACACCTCTTGTCGTCTTGTTTTCTTTTGCAAACCATTATTCTGAGTTGCTTTGACTCCCCTTTGTGCCACCTCCTTCCCCCTTTTCTTCCTTTCTCTTTGCCTCTATTGGGCTTAGGTCCTTTTGCTTTTTTCCTTTGGCTTTTTCTCTCTGCTTCAATTCCCTTTGTGTGTACCATTTCCCTTTTTCTAGTTCTGTACCCCTTTCATGCCTTGCTCTAAAGCATTACAGTCCTGCTCATGCCGATAACAGCTTTAGACCTTCCTGTTTTCGTTTGGGGATATTTTTTTTTATTTTTTTTTAAATGCAGTTTGTGGTTTCCTCTTCTGTGCAGGTGGATAAGCATATCCGCCGGCTGGATGCAGACTTGGCGCGGTTTGAAGCAGATCTGAAAGATAAACTGGAAGGCAGTGACTTTGAAAACCCTGGATCTCGAAGCCTGAAAAGTGCGTAAATACTCTGCGTTTGACAGCCTTTTCCAGCACTGAGCCTGTGTAACCAGAAGGGCTGAGATAGAAAGTAGCCTGTTGCTTCTGGAGAAAGCAACTTCTCTACTTGCTTTTAATGCCCTTCAAATATTCACAGTGTTCTGGTGGGCAATAAACAGATGAGGAAGAAATCTGCTGCTGGGTTCTAACTTACAGGCTCCGCTTGCTGGATCACCCTGAGGTGGCCCGTGGTTCCTGGTTGTAAGGAGGCTACTGGCCAAGGGGGGGTTAACCATAACAAAACTGGCGTGATGCACTTGCAGCTCTTGAGCGTAACAGTTTGAGTTTCAGGCTTGATCTGTTACTGAGGAAGTTCTGAGATCTTTTTGAGGAGAGATTTTTCTGTTTTCCTCCCTTTACCAGATTTTCAATACTAATCAAGCTGAGAACAGGAGAAAAAAAAAAAAAAAAAAGGAGTTAAAGGAAAGTACCAGTTTCTGTAATGTCTGCTGGAAATCTCGTACGCTTACAGTGGAATTTCACCACGGCCAACAGCAGAGCAGGTTTATGCCTTTGAACTAGGAAATAAAGGGTACGATCGGGGAGGTGGAGATAAGTTACACTAGTTATTGAATAAGTAATTAGCTTAAAAATGTACTGAGAGTTTTTAAAAAATACTACAGCAAGTCTAATCAAATGTGATGCTGTTCATATCTTGTGCAACGATAAGGGCGAACACTTTACTGTAGGGATTTAGTTGCCAAAACCATGGATGTGAGAGTTTGGTGCTCAGTCGTACCGCTCGCCTGTTTGGCATGTTTGCGGCATAAAAATATATTTCAGAAGCAGCATTCGTATTCCATTATGCGTGAAAGAAGGATTACAAAAGAATAAAGGCATCGAAAGAAAAATATCGGGGGATTTTTCTGTTCCTCAAACAAGTCAAAGTGATGGCCTTTTTTTTCCTTTATAGAGGGACGAAGTCAGAAAGACAAGAGAGGCTCTCGTGGTCGAGGCAGGCGAGCCTCTGAAGAAGATACACCAAAGAAAAAGAAACTCAAAGGAGGGTAAGGCGTAGCCAGTCACAGCTCTGGTGACTTTGGCTTGACACTGTGAATTTTCCGGAAGCTCGTGTTACCCTGTTTATGACTCGTCTGTGGATGGTGAGCAGGGTTAAGTGTTCTGGTCTCACTCCATTTGATTAGTGTCATGCTTAGGACACGTCAGCTTTGTTAATTAGCTCTTCCGTCAGCATGGGGACACTCAGCACGCTTGGAATGCCCTCTGTCTGGAAGGACAAGATTGGCCTCTCTGTTGCTGTTGGCAAGCTGGGAGAAAATAGCTTTGATTTTTGTCATGCAGCTATTTTTAACAGTTGCTTGTGGTCTTGATTGTAAAAAGAAACCCTTGCCCATTGAGACAAAACCTGATGTTTTATTGTTGTTCTAGACATCTTGGAGAAATCTGGGGGTTGTTTTCAAGCAATCGTGCCCTAAATAGCCTTGAGTAATCTAATTTGGTTTTGTGAAGCAAGGAAAAAAGCATGTACCCCCTCTATCATATGGTTTGTATTCGAGGGGCCCTGTCAATTCTGAGTTTTCAGTTGGCTAAATGAAAGGGCAGAAAAGAAAAAAAATAGTTTCCAATGAGCGCTACTGCCATGTCAGCTTAACAGATCCCTGTCAGAGCAAGGGGCTTCGCTCACAGCTGGCAAGGAGAAAAGAACAGATATACTAAAACTGATGGGGACGGAATCAGATTCTTCTGTCTGCAAGCAGAAGTGATCTGTACATTAATTTTGTTACTGTAGTCATGGCATCTACAGATCATTCTCTTAATCCTTTATAGTCAAGCTCATGTTTTGTGTTTGAGCAAACCTACGCTAAGGTTTCAGTTATTGGATAATAAGTGATAATCTAAACTCTGAAGTGAGGTCTGTGTGGTTTAGGGAAGATATTGTTAAAAACTAATTTTCCCAAGTGGGATTTATATCTTGGAAACGCAGTGTTGCTTACACCTGAGAAGCGTTTCATCCACAGTCTGTTCTTGTCTGCAGCTCGGAATTTGCTGATACCATCCTGTCGGTGCATCCCTCGGATGTTCTAGACATGCCAGTGGACCCCAACGAACCCACCTACTGCCTGTGTCACCAGGTGTCCTATGGAGAAATGATTGGCTGTGACAACCCAGATGTAAGCTCTTGAGAGGATTTACTTTCACTTGTTCAGTGCGTCTCGACCCTGTGAAATCAAGGGGGGGGTACTTGCTCAATTAGGTCATACAAAATGAAACTAACATTCATGAAATGCTAAGCGTCTCCTCTGGGGGTTTTTCCTTTCTGTTTTGCAGTGCCCTATTGAATGGTTCCACTTCGCTTGTGTGGACCTCACCACCAAACCGAAAGGGAAATGGTAAGGATGACAACATAGCAGCTTTGTGATTTTTATCAGGCTATGATTTGCCTCGACAAGAATCACAATAAGAATTGAAGCCCTGTTGCGACCCCTTCTTGACAGAGGAGCTTTGCTCTCGTCGTCAGAGGGTTTGGGATTGTGCTTGTGTGAGGGTAGAAGGCACAAGCAGAACCTTCTTCCTAAAGTCTGCTTCTACAGGAGTCTTAGACTAAGGTGGGAGCGAAATGAGGACCGGGCACGTGCAAAATTGCATGATAAACTGAGCAGGTTTTGATCTGAGGCTTGTGTAAAGGTGTATGTGTCACATCTTGGGTTTGCTGTCCTGTCACGTAGCCGTGGCTGTGGTTCAAACTGAGAAGGGACGTGTATTTTTTCTTTTTTGCTTCTGGAAGCAAAGTTTGAAGGCTGCTCCAGCTTTTGCTTACATAGGTGCTCATCTTGGAAAGAATCATAGCCTCATTTTGCACTTGGTTTGTGCTTAATGGACTGCTCTCGTCTAACTAACAAGACACTGATTAGAAACGGGCTTAAGCGAAAGTGAACTGGAGTCACTGGAGGGAGAGGAGGGAATGAGGTGGAGGAACGTGGCTTTTTCCTTTGCCTGTAGAGGAGTTACTGGGAGTAACTTGTAGGTGAATGAAATGAGGTGAAGCACGGCTGCGAGGGGCTGATGAGCCAGGAGCCTTCTAGTGCTCTCTGTCCCTTCTGCCCACCCGAGTTGGCACGGTTCCTTTCCTATTTGCTCTCAGGCTTCTTGCATGTCATGAAAATTGTTGCAGTTGCTTAAACTGGCTGCTCTTAAACTGACCTCCCACCCACTCGTTCCCAAATAATTAAGGAAAAAAAAAAAAAAAGAGTTCTTGGGGTGTGTGTTTTTAACTTCAGGAACTAATTACTGCCTCTTCTTCCCTCTAGGTTTTGTCCTCGTTGTGTTCAGGAAAGAAAGAAAAAGAAATAAGGAATAGAGGGGAATGCATCCTCTGAGGCAAGAAGAGTTTTAATATATTCCTTCATTCACGTTGCAATATTATCTTTGATTTTTTTTTCTTTTTTTTTTTTTAACTTGCCCTCCTCTTTCTTTATCTGGTATGATATTTAATTGTCCAGTGGCCAGTTGTAATTCCTGTTCTTTCATAAGAAAATGAATTTAGGAAGGAGCCTGAAATCCCTTTGCCACAGGGGTTTTATTTATGTTACACTTGCACAGCACTGAAATCAGTGTTACTGTGAAGTGCTAAGGGCAGCCAGTAGCTGCAGCCTCTGCGGGTTTATAGGAGTCTGTGAAACCACGTAAGGTGTTGCAGGAGAATAAAATCCCCGTGTCTTCAGCACGGTGCATCGCCATCGTGGAACTAGTTCATGCCTGGAGCTTGGCATGGTGGAGAAGAGGGAATTTTCTCCATCATTCAGGTGTGACGTCCATTTGTTGTGCAGTTCTGTAGCACATAAGGGAACAGGGAAGCCATTTAACCGTTGCTGGTGCCCATTGCCTCAAAGCCCAGTACTGCGCTCGGTTTTGACAGGGCAGGGATGGGAGAGGTATGATCACATCTTCTCTTTTCGGGTAACTTCCTCTGTCTACCTTTGCACTGCCTTTATTTTACTTGGTCTTGCCCCCATACACGTGAACCTTAGCGGAAGCAAACCATTCAGATTTTTCACCTCCTCCTAGAAAAGGTTTGTCTCTTTTGGGGGAGAAAACCTTTAAATGGCAAAGGAATTGTCCTGTTCCCCTTCCCGACTGTTTCCATTTTTCTGAAGATCCTTTAAGTACATTACTGTGAAGATGAAACCTGCAGTGTTCTTCTAGAGACAGAAGGTCGGATTTATTCATAAAATGAGATGAAGGCCTGATTATTTTTTTTTTCTAACTTGTGTTTGCCTGTCTTGCACCTGGGTAAATCAGGAAAAGAAGCTTTAAGGGGAGGCTGGGGAAGGACAATGTGTACATTCCTGCGCTGGAGCGTAGCTTGAGGGGGGATTTGAATAGCATTTGCTATGCAGCGCTGCTATTGAGGG